CTTATATCTCATGAAATATCCAGTAAAAGAGTCCCAAAGTTGGTGGGTGATCAGCATTCGGTAAGAGCTATGACCCCACAGAATTAGAAGTCCCTAGCTACTATAGTTCTTGAGTTACAGGAATGTCGCTACTTTGAGGGATTATTTTTTGACAAAATAATCCCGGACTCAAAGGGTTAAGGGACGGGAGTCTTCGCGGTTTAAAGTGGAAAAAGCTTCTTGTGGGTTCAAAAATAGATTTAGATAATGAAAAAACTTCGGTACTTTCGGTACCACACAAGTACCAGTACCGATAATTACCTAATTCAGATAAAGTATTTGCCTTTCTCATCTAAGCTTACTTCGTAACCTGATTAAAAGATTCTGACAACTGAATTTTAACAGACATTTAAATTAAACGGATAGAAATAAAATAAATTCATGACAAGAAGAAACTCGCTTACGTGCTGAAGATGATGAATAACATCAGGTATTAAATTAGCTTCAATAACACATTGTACTTGATGTTGATTTCCAGCCGTTATGTTTGATAAAAACCATACAGCTTCCTACAAAACAAAAAAAAATGTTGTAAATTTACTCTCATTAAAAGTCTACTTGTATTACTTTATTTAATTTATCTTTTGGATGTTTCAATAATTTTGGAAAACAGGACAGTGCATTATTATTTAATACAATTTGTGTTTGCTCATCTGTTCCCGTAACGATGTTACCAACAGCTCTTAGGGCAGCTGTGACAATTTTAACTTCATTATGATCTAATAATTTGACAATCATCGGTACTACACCCGAATCAACAACTAACTGAAACGGTAACGTATAAAAAGAAATATATAGAATATCTTTCGTATGATAATTTTATTTACATAAAAAGATGTTAACTTCATGGCACATTAGCTCACATCGTCTCTTCTATGATACGAGTATCGATTGGATTCTCCTATACATTTCAGATGAATGTTTAAAAATTTTTTAACTAACAGGCACAATTGAAAAGTACTCTGGATATCAAATCATCCACATAATAGATCAACATTACCTGAATTTGTGTATTTCCACCATCGAGAAGATAGGCTAATGCCCACACTGTATCAACTAATATCTAAAATAGATAGATCAAAAACAAAGTAGTTAACAAAAGTTGAGTTAAAAACAATCGACTACTTACTGTGATATCTGTATATGATATGAGATAATTTAAGGCCGGTAAAATATCTTGAACAGCTTTTACGGGCTAAAAAACTAAGTATGAATTAGTTTGTAATACTGAAATTATACAACTTACAGGTGGAGGTTCTTTATGCCTGCATAAGTTAACAATCACCCACGTAACATTTCTTAGAAATGTAACTGGTATATCTTGTTGAATAAAGTTAACTAGAGGCTGTACAACACCCAGTTCAATAGCATAATCACGAAGTTCCGGTCCATCTCCTATAATTATAGATAAAAATCCATCATAACAGATGCTTATTGTCTGGAAAAAAATTTAATTAAAAAATATATACCAATAATATTTCCTAAGGCCCAAACAGCTTGTTCACAAACATTTGGTTGTTTTGAATTTAATAATCTTAATAAAGGTGGTACAGCATTAGCATCAACAACAGCTTGAGTCTGCTTTGAACTGCCTGAAGCAATATTCGTTAGAGCCCATGCAGCTTCAAATTGTAAATCAGGATATGTATCTAACAATAAACAATCAACTAAATTTGGTAATAAGTCAAAACGAATTAAATCATCAATTGGAGGATTACGATCTAAGAAAAGAGAAAAGTGAGTATACGTATATATTTTCTTTCTTAAAGATAGACTGTCTTAACATACCAATCGATAACATTTTTCTAAAACGCAAAACATTAGGAAGTTATTATAAAACAAAAATGATAATTAAATTTTCTTTTTGTTAAGACGATAATTTTTTTTCATATGGGCTAACCTTGCAGATCTTATAGCCTCGAAACGAACTTGTAAATCTGGACTCTTTGCTTTTTCAGCAATTTCATCTAAATTTGGTCGTCGTTTTGTTGCATCTTCTTCTGATTCTTCAGACATTCCATTTCCATCTACTAAGTTACGTTTGATTTTTATTGCTTCTTCACGTTTATTCTAAAATACCAAGCAAGAGTCATATATCTCCACCACTTCGAAAATTTATGCTTACTTTTCGCAGTGATACATTTAGTTCAGTTCGACGACGTCTTATTTCCTGAAGTGCCGACAAAAAAAAAATGAGTTCAGGATAAACGACACATGTTTGTTTTTCCTTACATCTGCGTCTTTTCCACGATGTTTATAATCCCGTATGCGATGATTTTTCGAATCCATATCTGATATTAGACTTCACAGTCTACACATAAATGTATTTAATCTAAAACATAAATGTATTTAGTCCAACTACTGCTTTGACTAAAACAGACTGAAAGGCACCAGTCCACGTCTTATCCCTTTTAGCGTCGAACATTAGTTTCTAATAAAAAATGGATGAATGTAAATAAATATACAGGATCCATGACATGTGATCAGTGAGAGAAGATGTGTGTGTGTCCTGTGATTTTCATTTTAGAACAACGCAAATTCAAATACAAAAATTTCAGTTGTTTTTGTTTAAACTCAGTATCTAATGAAATTTCATTACCATCATGCTATATAACGAAAAAAAGCTCAATCTTTTCATGTGAACATTATGATTGGTTCACGTGTTGATAAATGAACGTTTGTCGCCATAAATCGAGTTAGAAATAATTGTTTCACAGTACTGTTTCCTTTTAGTTCCAAATAGTAGCTCCAAGGAGAGACTATATGCGTCATTTCTTATTGATTCTGGCTCCTTGGAGCTACTATTCGGAGCTAAAAGGAAACAACAGTTTATAATATAATGTAAAGAAAGTTCTGCAAAGTTGAGAGCTGTTTAACATGGCACACTAATGATTGGAACGAATAGACATCGCTCTTTGGAACCACCTACTTAACGACTTTAAAAAATTCTAGATGCTGTTACTTTTTAAAACATAGTAAAATGAACATTAGGATATATATGTTAAACTAAAGAAAATTTGTCGTTTTTTGTTAACGCTGATTCTACTCATCGAATTCAAAGGAAACCTTGGAAAAATTGAACGCATAAGTTCAATTTCTACCTTTTTCCGTGGTAATACTTATGTCTAATAATTTTGAAAGTAAACTCGAGGACTATGATTAGCAAAGTTTCATCGGAATCTTATATCAGATGAAATGTTACGTTTTTCTTGCAATGATATTCGTTCAGTGAGGATTTATAGTACACTCGTATATTAATCAGTAGATAATTATATTTTGCGCTCAAGTTAGATTACCACGAAAATGAGCACTAGATTTCTATATAGAATACGCCGATAATGGTGATTCATCGTTATTGTACATTATCTTTACAGATGTTTTTAAGAATAGCGAAGGAGTATTCTTCAAAACTTCCACCCAGAGGTATCAAGAGCAGTTTTGATTTGATCGATTGACTGTCAAATAAGATTCTTCTGATAAACGCGTAGAAGTAACACGTGGTTTATGCATTGTGAATGTATATTATATATGTATATTATATGTATTGTATATTTCAGCACCTTGATAAGCATGTGATAAACACGTACATACTACGTAGGAGGATAAAATCAGATAATTGACTGAGTAGAAATGCTCGATTCTGGAACCGAAATCGCGGTTTCGTTGCTAATGCGGAACCGAAACGACTAGAACTGCGATTCCGGTTGTCGACTTTTTAGAATAGAACCGCGGTTCTCGGTTCTCAGCTTAGAACCAGAAAATAATTTTTCAGTCACTAATAAATCACCGTAACAGAATTCATTTTATAGTATACTCAAGGATTCTTTTCAGGATGATAGAATTTACTATATATCTTTTTATAGTATGTTTTTATTTTGTTAAAAGAAAGGTAAGACAAAAAGATAAGGCAGAAGAGACCAGAACGAATTATTGTTTCGCCCTTTGTTGCACTTCATAAAGTATAAATTTGATCATCCGTTCACACTCGTGCTTTTGTTTAAACAGTTTTAAGTTCAGACAAACCATTAAGTTAACGGTTTGCTCATTTCCTCGAATAAAACACCTGTCTTTGTTGAATTATTGATTAATTTATTATATTATACTTGATGAACGCTAAACATAACTTTCTCGAAATAAAACTGCTATCGTTGCTAAAATAGGCCTGGTTCCCAAAAAAAGGAACCGTCTAAAAAGTCGCAGTTCCGATTTCTGATGAAAAACCGAAAATAAGAGAACCGCGGTTTCGGTTCTTAACGAGAACCAAATATCTCTATCACTGAGTGTATTGCAAGTACGCTGTGGTTTACTAATTCTGTGTAAATATTGTTCCAGATCTGAAACACTTTTGTGTAAATCACGCTAATCGGATCCGGCTTTCTCGACAAATTAGATGATATTGACTAGAAAATTTCAATTATTCGGAGATGTATGCATATGTCTGTCTAAAAATTTCGCTTTTGTTGCATTTGCGTTCAAATTTACAGTTATTACAGTGAAGTATGAAGTAATTCGCTCAAATAACTTCAGCAATATAGAGTGTAAATCTTGAACATTATATCCAGCTTAATATTCATCTGACTGTTGCTGTGTTGAACCGTTCCTACACAAGAGTTTTATTCATGAACGATGCTGAGTGGTTCTTGACGTCTAGTCTTTTTGAAACTAGCTAAGAATATATGAAGTATGTTAATTATTTTTACTTACACTATGGTTACACTACGCAAATAATCACGATTCTCTTTGATCATGATTAAAAGATAATCGTGAGTAAAGCAGCGGTTATACTACTGGTTTAATCACGATTAAAGATAATCGTGATTATTTGTGTAGTGCAACCGTAGTGTTACTCTGTATCGCGTAAGAGTAAGTAGCACTTGTCTCTTTTCTACTCTTTATCGGTCAAATTCTTCAAAAAAAAAAATTAATAAACTTGACATTGATAAACTGTATAATTCAGGTGATCCATCATTCTGTTTTTGTCTATTGTTTATTTTAATATTTTTTTCTTCTGTTTGGTTGCGGCCATATATCGACTATCCCAATCAAAGTATTCTTTTGCTCTTTTCAGATGAATGATTTGTTTTATTTTGAGTTCATCGACGACATTTACCGAGGCAGATAAACGCACACATTAGTACTCATCTCATATATCAAAGACGATTATTCTTTCTTTCTTTATTTCTGCGAATAATAGAAATAAAATAATAATTTTGATTTGTTAATTTAAAAAAAATGTCCTTATCACGAATAAAACATGCAGCCAAATCCTTGAAAACATTTCAAGGCATACAGTTCGATCAGTGCCTAGACGATGGAGAAAAAGCAGAACAAGTTGGAAAATGGTTACTAGAAGTGTCATGGGAAGTAGCAAACAAAGGTGTGTATTGTCAAAGTCTAGTAAATATCTTGAACTTGACGAAATCTATTAATTCTTAAAAAATCTATCTTTTTTAACTACCAACAACACGTTTGTTTTAAAAATAAAAATAACTCTAAAATTAAACTAAAATCAAGTGTATCATATTTATTTTAGTTGGTGGTATCTATACTGTAATTCGTTCAAAAGTTCCAATAACAAAAAAAGAATATGGTAATAACTACATTTGTATTGGACCATACAATGAGGCATTTGTACGAACAGAAGTGGAGATTGGAGAATCAAATATTGGTGCAATACGAGCAACAGTCAGAGAAATGAAACGTTATGGAATTCATGTAAATTAAAAAAATTTTACATATAGATGTAATTTCTACGTTTAGACTTCATTTTTAGGTTGTTACTGGAAATTGGCTAATTGAAGGTTATCCACAGGTTGTTTTGTTCGATATTAGCTCGGCTTCTCACCGTCTTGATAGTTGGAAAGGAGATTTTTTTCAATATGCTCACATCGGAATACCTTATCATGATCGAGAAGCAAATGATGCCATCTTATTTGGATTTTGTGTTTTTTGGTTCATTGGAACGGTGAGAATCATCAATCTTTCATATATTTTATTATTATATTTTACTTTTTTCGATTTTTAGTTTCTTGAACAACTAAAATATGATGAACATCGTTACGTTACTGCACACTTTCACGAATGGTTAGCTGGAGTGGGATTAGTAATGACACGATTGAGAGGTTATGATTGTGCTCTTGTATTTACAACACATGCAACATTACTGGGAAGATATTTATGTGCGGGAAGTACAGATTTTTACAATAAATTATCATCGGCAAGTATCACACACATATATTAATTAGAAAATAATTTTTATATATTCATTTTAGTTTAATTTGGATAAAGAAGCTGGTGATCGACAAATTTATCATCGTTATTGTATTGAACGTGCAGCTGCCTCTTGTGCTCATGTTTTTACAACTGTCTCAAAAATAACTGGAATTGAAGCTGAACATCTATTGAATAAACGACCTGGTAAGAGAAAAAGAAAATATAAAAAATGTACATCATTTTGATTAACGGCTAATTATTTCTCGTTTTTGCATTTTAATTTTGTAATTTAAAGACATTTTAACGCCAAATGGTTTGAGTGTTAAACAATTTGCTGCATTGCATGAATTTCAAAATCTTCATGCACAAAATAAAGAAAAACTAAACGCATTTTTACGTGGACATTTTTTTGGGTAAATATGAGATTATTTCGATTTTCTTCATAGTTTAGTTATATAATATAATTATATACATTCTTTTCTTCTCTTTTCTCTTTTTTTAAAGAAATTTTAACACCAAATGGTTTAAATTATCGATTGTATAAAAAGCGTCAACATTTTAATTTTTCAACGTGGACTGTTGACTCTGCCATTATTAGTCGAGAAAGAATAAACAATTTTATTCAAGGATATTTTCTTGGGTTCAGTACTATGCTAAAAATACATATTTATTAACGCTCTACTTTTGCTATGAAATTATTCTTCTATCCTCTTTTTTTTTGAGATGCTCACATTGAGTTTCCTTAAGGCAAGAGAAAACGTTTTTATCTTTTTTTCAATGTACGATATCGGACAAAAATGACGAATTTTTGCCTATTCTCATTTTGCTTCCATTGAACTCATTTGATACATCTTTCTAATACTAGGCAAATGAGATGGATGAATGACTCATTGACAAAACATGTTTAGCTTCCCTTTCTGTTAGATCTAATGCATAAATTTTATTTTTTATTTTGTACTGTTCATTAATGATTTTGTGCATTCTAACAGTTTGCTTGTTATTTTTTAGGCATTATGATTTTGATTTGGATAAAACTCTTTATTTTTTTATCGCTGGTCGATATGAATTTACAAATAAAGGTGCTGATATGTTTATTGAGTCATTGGCTAGATTAAATCACATGTTAAAAGTAAGTGTAATCATATATTAATAAAATAAGCCAGTAGTTATCTGTGTTTTATTTGTCTTGAACTGTTTAGGCTGTTGGTTCCGATGTCACGATTGTTGCATTTCTTATATTTCCAGCACCCACAAACAATTTTAATGTTGAATCGTTAAGAGGACAATCTATTGCAAAAATGTTGAGAGATACGGTGCAAAATGTTCAAGGCGAAATTGGAAAAAGATTATACGAAATATGTCTTAAGTAATAAATAGAAAATGATGAGAAGAATATGACTCTAATGAGAAATTTATATTTTTAGAGGACATATTCCAAATCCGGATCAAGTTTTGAAAAATGAAGATTTGGTGGAATTAAAAAAATGTATATTCGCATCACAGGTAATACTATAGACATATAAATGAATTTCGTTTTTATTCAAGATTTGATATTATGCATAAATCCACTGTAATCGACAAAGACTTCAAATACACTCTACATCGATTAGAGAACGGGGCTGACTATTTCTTAGCCTCTTTTCCTAGAAAACAAAGATGCATGTGGAACATTGATTTTGTTGTTGTGTGAAACAAAGCCAGTGTGGTTGCAAGGTAGTTGAACTATACTAGGATAAAATACCCTCAATTAACTAGGATGTGCATGTTTCTCGTTGTCTTCGCTTATCAAAAGCTTTTTAAGTAAATGAGAAATTTTTCTTCGCCAATGCGATTCCAATAATATAAATTTTATGCGACCGCTTTGTGTTGTATGGATCATTAGTCATTGTGCATTTTCATTCTTTATGCAATGTTCCAAAAATGGACATCTATAGGAAGAAAATTCATCAATTAAAAATATTTTCAAATTTATTATTGTCATGTTTTTCTTCTTAGCGTTCATCTCTTCCTCCAATATGTACTCACAATGTTGTTGATGATAATACTGATCCAATATTATGCGCCTTACGTCGTTGTCAGCTATTTAATAATCGGTCAGATCGTGTTAAAGTTATATTTCATCCAGAATTTTTACGATCAACATCGCCTCTATTACCGATGGATTATGAAGAATTTGTTCGTGGTTGTCATTTGGGCGTATTTCCATCTTATTATGAACCATGGGGATATACTCCTGCTGAATGTACGGTAATGGGTGTTCCCAGTATTACAACAAATTTATCCGGTTTTGGCTGTTTTATGGAAGAACATGTCAGTGAATCAAATTCATACGGAATTTATGTCGTTGACAGAAGGTACAAAAGTGCCGAAGAATCGTGCCAACAGTTGACTCAGGTATGATACACCGGATGTCCCAAAATGTTTGAGATATTTTTTATTTTACATTTATCTTAGTACATAAAAAAATTAAAAAAAATTCTTTTTAAAGATTAAAAGATTTTAAAAGATTCAGTTAGACGAAGAGCTTGAACACTATCCAGAAGGCTGTTTTTGTTGTAGCAGCTCAGACAAGTCATTGTTATTAGGCACAAGTAGATTGTGATTAAAACAAATAATTCTGAAAAAGCATTTCATATTTAGTCGTGTTACAAATAATTCGTTTTTTAGATGCCTGTTTATAACTAGTAAAAATGTATAGGAAGTAATTCATATCATCACACTATGCGACCTATAAAAACGTTTAATTCTATTATTTTAAATTGAGATAAATAGAAGTGAGAATTGAATCGTGCATCTTTTAAAAAATATTTGAAGATTTTATTATTTTTCTGTACCGATATATATATAAAATAAAAAATGTCTCAAACATTTTGGAACATCCAGTATTTTCTCTTTAAAATACACAAATTAAAGGAGAACAGACGATTCTATGCCATGATGAAAGATGTAACCAGTTTTCATATGTTTTAGTACATGTTCGATTTTTCACAATTATCGCGTCGTCAACGTATTATATTACGAAACAGAACGGAACGTTTAAGCGAATTGTTAGATTGGAATACACTTGGAATTGTAATAAAATTGTATTCAATGGATTAAATAATAATTTTATATTTTTTATTTTTCGCATTTTAGTATTACTACAAAGCACGTCAATTAGCTCTTCAAAGAATACATCCAGAAATAGACGAACAAATGATGAAAATTGTAAGTAAGAGTTTCAATATTATTCTAAACAGTGATCAAACCATTTAGTCCTAACGAGAAATAAAGTTGAGTGTAAATACATGAGAAATAGATCTGAAATTGATGATTATGTTTACTTCTTTTAGTCCCAAGTTTTTCATGTATCTCGTGCGTCCTCTGCTCCCTCTTCTCCTGGCGCATCCCGTTCATCGACACCCGCACCAACCGAAGAGGATTATTCTGAGGAAGATTATCCAGACGAACAAAAAACACCCGATATTGAAGCAAAACGTGAATATCATCCTCCTCCGCCAATTGAAAAAATTCCTCGACCACAATCTGCTGTGAGGAACCCTACAAATTCACCGTTTAAACGAGTAGATGATACTGATCAACATGATGATTTAAATGCTGATGATGATATCAATTTTCCACCAGATCAAGATACTCGAACATTACGTGATAAAGCCTTTGTCGATCCATCTTATAAGAATAGTGGAAAATCACAAGTTTTACCAGAATCAACATTGGACAAATTAGGCTCGAATTTAGGTTCGTACATCGTTCAAAATATGTTAGACAAAGATTTGAATAACTTAATTCACACATTATCACTAAAAATTAGACATTCATAAATGATTAATTTTAATCTCTCAAGTAACAATGAGCACACTTTTAAGATAAAACTTTGACATTGAATTGTTATGAGAGAAAATGACTCGGCCAAAAAATAAGCTAAATTTGCTGACTATTCTCACTTTTTTCTCCAGTGTTCGTATATAAGTTTTAATTTTGTTTTAGGTTTGCCTACAAAAGGTACATTTGATAAGGAACAATTACTACCACTACTTGGTAGAAAATCCTCAATATCGACGCAAGATCATTTTACAGCAGCCACTCACAGTACGGCAAACAAAACAACGTCTGGTGAATCATCTGCTTTTATTGAAACAGGTGGAACAGGCTCATCATTGTTTGCACCACCATTAATTGATCAACAAGCAGCTCAATCTATTGGAAAAGAATCATTTCAATAATTTGACTTGATTAAATTATCGTACCTTAGCCATACCATCTATTATTACAGCTGACCCTGTGTCCATTCTATTTACAATTATTTATATATATACCGAATTCATTAGTCTTCCCGAGTGATACTTTTCTATTATTAAATTCATTTTATCTTAGTCTAGTCTATTTTTTTCTTTCGAAGTCAACTTTTGTTTTGTTTTTTATTACTAAGCCGATTTGGTGCCCGATACTAATTTATTTGATTTATAGACAAGTTACTTTTAAGTAAAATAATATATTGATTTATGATCAATTTAAGCAGAAATCTAAATATGCTAAAACAATAATTGACATGAGATGTGCTTGGGGCTGACCAAAAGTTCGTAGAACGATGTTTAAATTTTTATAAAATACTTAACATCGAAAGAATTAATTTATTTCATTAATAAAATGTCTCGTCTATAATTCTAACAGTCTTTTAGATAAAGTCTATAGCACAGTGAATATACAAACATTCCTTGTCCAGGATTCGAGTATATTTCTGAATTTCGCATTTTTTCTTTCCTCCCTCATATGATATTTTCTGACGTCATATGCACTTAAATATTACATGTAACAGTATATATTGAGTGCAAAATCATTTATTGAGTTAGTTCATTCGATTTGCTTACTTTTTTCGTGTGAATAAATCAGCATTTCGATCAATACTTTGTATCAAATATCAAAGTCATTCTGAACCTGTGACAAAGTCTGATTTGAATTTTTTTTAAATGTTGAATGTTTCAGGAATGTTCGTATATTCACTGTGCTATAGACTTTATCTAAAAGACTGTTAGAATTATAGACGAGACATTTTACTAAGTATTCATGCAATAAATCTTTCGATGTTAAGTATTTTATAAAAATTTAAACATCGTTCTACGAACTTTTGGTCAGCCCTAAGTACTAGTATATGGTCTTGCTTGTAGGATGAAATACAGAATGTGAAATATATTCCATCCCTGTCGGACATCTATCTAGGTAACTACAAGTTAGATCTGGGATCAAACTTTTGGAGTATATTCACCAAAGTATGGCGATAAAATTTTTGTTTTTCGCTCCATCTATTCCCGTTCGCGAAATGTCGCCATAGCAGTAGTCATAATGAACAGTTAAGGTTTCCAAAAATTTTTACTCATTTTAGGTGGTTCGGGATGATTCCGTTTTGTAGAAAAACGCTATTGTTTTGTCATAACAAAACCGGATTTTTGAAACTTTATATTACTGATTAACGCGAAGCATTTTTCGTCAAAAACGTTAAAAATTTCTTTCAAATTTTTTAGAGATTCTTTGTTTTTCTAACTTTTCGCAACGAAACTAAAAAGTTCAGCTCTGCACCGTCGAAGTGACAATATTTTTCTGCAAAACAAAATTATCTCATGCTCTTCAGCATGTAAACTGAATGAGAATTTCTTTAGAAAATTCTTAGAGCGACGGATTGAGATATGGTGATCTTTTACTGTGTTTAAATATACATTTTGTAGATAATTCGTGGATAAAGCACAAATTTTGCTTGTCTCTCAAATGAAGTCAAAAGCACTCTTAGCTTGTGAAAAGGATGAGACTCATTTTTCAGATTGAAAAAATGATTAGCGTGATTATTGTTATCCACAAATTAGTGCCAGAGGTTTTAATCAATGTGATTGCTTTTAGTGTGTAAACTATGAATTTAACATTTAAATGAAGGAGGACATGCAATACGTCATTTCAAAAGAATTTTCCAGTTGTCAGATGAGGCGTTCATGAGATTTTTTCTCGAAAAAGACCTAAGTCATTTTTGCATACTTCCTTTTGTACATACTTGTCTTAGTTTTTAGTCTACTTTTTTACAACAACATTCACATTTGGTGAATTTTAAACCGAAAAATTTCAATTACATAAACAAGAAAATGTTGATTGACACTCTTCACCGTGTAGTCAGCATTTTTTGTTCGACTTCGACTTTATCGTACCTACTCTTTGCAGAAAATTTAGCTAGAATTGTCAAACTCTCTTTTTTCTTTCCTAGCAGACCGGGTGAGTAAAAAAAGTACAAATCTGAAGGCAAGCATTTTCAATGAAAAAAGTTATACGAAACTATATATCCTTTGATTCTAAGCAGGGCCAGTTTCCTGCAGAATTTGAGCTGTATAGTAGTGAGACATTATAACGACAGAGCCTCATCAAATACAGTCGTGCAATAAACTAACAGTTCATAGGTACGTGTAATCTGATGACACAATATATTCATTTTCTAGAATATATTGCCTTTGTTCCGTTCATTCTAAAACAAATGATCAAAGGGCCCCGTTACAAATTTTTTTTCCTAAAAAGTCGATACTGAGCTAAACACGTCATCAGACAGCTCATGGTATCTACTATAAGAATCCATAGTTATTTGGTCTTCATCAAAGGGGTATGAAGGTTTTTAGAAACGTTTTCTGAAAGCCTTGAAAAACTGCGTTTTCGAAAAATTTCACCTACTGATAAAAAAATCAAACCGAAAAATATTTTCAACAATACTAGGATGCAGAGCAAACATTTTTGATTAAAATGAGATATCGCCCAGCTTCGGATGATGTTTTGATCAAAAGTTATGAGCTAGAAGTATATGCATCAGACGCTAGCACCATCGTATCTCGAAATCGACATTCACCTTGATAGCATTTCGTAGCCGCAAGATTTCTCGATAACGAAATGTCGTTAAGAGATGGATTGGTCTTAAACTGAAGCTAACAACTGTGGCTAGAGGCTAATAGAGCCCAATTTTTAATATTCAGTCCAGATTTGTGGTTAGACAAGCATCTTTGTGCAAGTTACTGAGAATTTTTCGAATTTTTGACTTTCAACGCCTACTATTTTTTCAGAAAGCAAAATATCAAAAATCCGGCTGTATTAGCCTCTAGCCACATGTGTTTTCGTCGTTTTAAGATCGTTCAGAGCTCTTCATCACTTAATTTGACGAAAAAATGTTGCAGCTACGAACATATAAGATCGAGAACTAGATCAATTAATACATTCCATGATGGAAATCCTCAAATAGCACTTCTATTTCATGAATTTAATATATCGATAATAGCGTAGTAGATATGCGGTTACAGGCAAATAATTAACATAATTAATTAAATGTTAACGAAAATCAAAAACAAAATATAACCACTAACTTGCGTCTCTCTACTTTGTTTCTTTTTTAAGAGAAAGAAGTAATTTGTTTCGAAGCAAAACTAAAACAGTTTTAAAAGTTAAATTCTCGTAATGTACGCGCCTTATTAAGTAATAAAAAAAATAAAACTGAAACTTGAAAAGATATGAGATTTCATTTCCTCCTTATACTTGCATTAACGATAATGACAACAACAATTATTGATTCAATGCCTACTCATGTGACATTGACATGCCATAATTCAGAACACTGTTCACATTTAACTGTTAAAAGTCGTCTATTACCAAATTGTACGAAAAAACAACATCATGTATCACGACGAATAAAGCGTTTATTCAAATGTCGACATAACGATACGATTGTTTTAAATCAGATACCATCAAAAATAAAGACAAAATTATTTGATGTTGAAGAAAAAGAAATAAACTATAAAACAATGAGATTGTAGACGAATGCTAACTAAAAACTAAAAAATAATTTTGTAACGGAGACCGGAATTGGAATTCAGAGGTTTTTTGAACGATTTCATAAAAACAGCCAAAAATTTACCTTTTCTCCATACTTAAATAGAACTTTTTCAAAGAATCGTCAGAATGTTACACAAGTATATAGTTCGCTCTGTAATAATCACAACCTACACCATAGTTTAGAAAACTTCTGAAATTTGCCATTAAAGAGATGTTGTTTTCGTGTTTTACGAGTAAAATTTTTTTCATAGCTAGAATCGGGTTCGAGACTGAGAAATCTTGGTTCTACTCATGTCTACTTTGGACCCTCTATGAATCTTCGAAAATATTTCCACAAACTTTCACGATATCTAGTGTACTATATACATTCGAGCACACTCATAACCAATATCACGTTTAAAATTAGAAAACTGTTATAACTCGACACTTCAAGGTATAGTAGTACTTTTGAACCTTTTTTAAATCTAATTCAACCATCAATAGAACAGGCATTCAGAGCGTTTAAGAACTGGTACTACATGTGTAAAATTGTTTGATCTTTCAGAACATCCTCCTCAGAATGCTTACAGTGTATCTAAAAACCGTAAGAAATTGAGATAGAATCTGAAATATCTAAAAAGTCTTTAATAAAGTTTGCATTTTTACTACTATCATCTAAGAAAAACTTTATCCAAGGTATACAGCTTTTTATGCTCCATCAAACTAACTCATTTTAAAACAGAAAAAATCGAAAGCTGATGAACTACACTCTAAAAAGGGTCGTAGATTAATAAACTACAGTAAAAGAGTTTTTTGGACTAAAAGACTGATCAGAAAACTTAACAGACTTTTTTAAAAACCACAGAGCTTTTTGGTCATTTTGAAAAACCGAGGAAAAAACTAACAGGGTTTTTTAAAGAGTTTTTTAGACCCAAAAAACTCTCCCCAAAACCGTGAGTTTTTCATTTTGAAACGACCACGAACGCTTTTTAGTTTTTTGGCTTAAAAAGCTGTTAAAAAAGTCTTTTGAGTTTTTTTATCAGTTTTTTTAGTTAAAAAAACTCTTTTACTGTAGTTTATTAATCTACGACTTTTTTTTAGAGTGTAGTAGTAAGATGATTATTCTACATTCTGGATTTAATATCAGGAGTGTTTGTCGGGTTAGTCAAACTGCCTTTTAAACAAAGCACAAACTGTTCTCATTTTTCTCGCGGAATTACTATCCTTTTAGAGCAAGTATAAGTCATGTTAGCACACTATTCAGTAAAACATTGATAGAAAGTTTTTTCCTCATTACGATATAGACATTTTATTAGTTTATGGTCAAATTTCAGTATTTTGTAATACTTATATTACACTAATACCAAACAAAAAGATTGAAAATTATAGTAACAGACACCAATCTAGAAAGACTTTAACGAAAGTACATGATCACTGTTGGAAAACGAACAAGAGAAATATAATTCGAATAACAAAACAGAAAATATATACAATATACATCTTTTAAACGAATACTGTAAGATAATCGTTTACATCTCGATGTAAAATCACTGCTTGAGCCGATTGTGTGCCAGCACTAATTGATGACTAAAACATGAAAATAACAATTAAATAAATTGGTATGGTAGATAAAAGAAGTTTTAAAGAGAGATTTAGCAAAAAATTTATTATTACCAAATATGTTGAGAGTTTCCCAGTTTGTGTATTTCTTCTCAGTACTTCTTTTTTTTTACGCTAATCCTCAGAAGATTTATAGTCGATTACTACTGTACAATGTGAAAATACTCATGTACGAATTTATTGTACCTATATTCTACTTTTCCGCGTGTTTCCACAAGAAAAGAATATTGTCGTGCGTTAAAATCCATTTGTATCACGCCGGATTATGCAGTACAGTTAGGAGTTCATAATGGTACATTAGTGGGCTTTTCTTTTCGCAGATTTGCATGTTTGGAAAACAGAATGACATACAGAATACAGCAGAAATTCTAGTAATGTGTTAAACGTGTGGAGTGTTACATTAAGTTACTTTTGGTATAGAAGAATTACTAAGTTTCATGCATAAACATCAACGATACAACGTGTTCATTAGTACTCAAATTCGTTCATAGTTTCGCTCAAATCGACACACTTGAAAGACGGTTTGTATTAGTTTTATGTAATACTATTACGTGTACAGATGATGAATAAATGTGGTATGCCAATACATCAGAAGGATCTTTTTATTTGCTTACAAGAACAAATAATAACATTTTTTTTACAAATGCTATAATTTGTATAGATTTTGTGAACAAATAAACCGATCTTATAATGCTTCAACATTTTGTGAAAAAAAATGAAATATATATGTTTACACTAAAAATAAGGAAGAAGCCATATACATTAAATATTTACATCCGCGTTTTTAACGTGAAATTTGATTTTAATTTTGAATCCAACACATATTTTCGATTTCTTAAAATAACGGGTTTCAGCAACAATTTATTGATATTGAATGTCAAATGCTGCAAATGTTTTTAAGAGTTTTATACTTGAAATGAGTCGGCAGATAAGCTGGTGAGTCATCCCTGAACAGAACTGAGTTTTCCCTCTTGAAAAACGTATTAGAAGGATCTATAGATGATATTTCACTACCTGGTTTCTCGAAATTTTGATATGACATTTTTGATGTCTGTAATGCCGCTAAGATTTTTTGAAAAATTTTTATTCTCATATCTGCGTAAAATCGCACGGATTATATGTAATTTTTAAAACTGATCATAAAAATCACATTTAAAATTAGGAAAGATATCGTTTTCGCTGAGAAAACACAATTTTACTGAATAGAGGAACGTCGCTTTCATTTTGTAGATTTTAATTACTATACGGCTAACGTGGAAAAGCATTTTGAATACTTAATAGTAATCAGTATATGCATAAATAACTGCTGTTTCAGAATATATGTTATGAAATATTTCTGGTTTATGTTAATAATGGTCATAAATTTTTAAATACGGGTTCAAACTACGGAAAATTTTAGACTTAGCTTCGTAGTTTTTCGACTGTAAGGGAGACCTGAATCGATATAATTAATACTAAATACGCGATTTTTTTGGACATTTTATTCATTCAGAGATCATTATGATATTTTTTCAGAGAATATTTGTTAGCTTATTTACCTACCTCTTTTAAGAAATAAAAGAGAAATACGGATTGGTTACAGATGGCGAATATAAAGAAGCTACACGCACATCTCATCTACACCTAAACTCATTTTTTTGTTAGGAATGTCTTGAAGTACCCGACTAGAATGTTAGACAGCATTTGATTAATTGCGCTATGAGTTAAGCATTATTTTGTGGATGATCAGGCGAGAATAGTTTAACTACATCGCACCCTTTCATCTACATCACGAAGATAAAACTTGAAATGTTTAATCTAGGTTTTTTTTCATACAAATGTAAAAAACAATATATGTGCAAGCATTGAATTGTTAGTTAAAGCATTATAATGTACAAAGCATAGTTATATTTATTAACATCGTGTAGCAGCTAAGTGTTCAGTATTATTGAATAAAATATTATCAAAAATGAATAATTCTTTCGTGTTTGTTGTTGCAGTAGAAGATAGCAATTGTTTAGTAGAAGACGGAGACGAACAGGATGAAGAAGGCGAGGAAGTTTTAGTTGAGGAAGCATGATTAGTATTGGCTACCTCATGAGATTCGCTAATTATATCCATACTATCTTCCGTTGGTCTCAACGGTCGATGAATTCTGTGATGTTGATTATTTTGTTGATTTAAACCTGTATCTTCATTAATTGTGCCTAAGATTGTCGGTGATGATATTTGGTGTTGTTGATGATCGTTACCAAAATTAAAATCCGGCTCACGAATGGATAATGTTGTTCGAAATGAGCCGGGTCGGTGTGCAATTGTTGATGTTTCAACTGATGAATTTGATTCTGGTGTTGATGAACGATTATCATACGACGATAATAAATCTTCGAGGGTTGAAGCACGAGTTGTGTGATAATGGGAAGAATATGATGAAGGTAACAGAGGAGGCTCATTAACTTTATAACGACCAGAGAGTAGACGTTGGTGACCATTTTCATCATTAGACGAAGAATGATGAAAGATACCTAAAAATAAATATTGAAAGTTACCTTGAATTTATGATATTATCTCTTTTTTATTACTGGAATCTGGTGATAAACGTGGCGTTCCTGAACTTGAATCATCTCTAACGTCTAGTGTGTATGGTGATGTTTGTTGTTCATCCAAAGGTGTTTTTGATTTAAAAAATAGCCCTTGTGCTTGCGAACGTGGTTTTTGTGTGAAAAATGGTGGTACTCGTCTTCTAGCCCGTTGTATTTTATAATAGATAATGATAATCATTGATGCTAGCACAATAAATATGAATCCGATGACGGATGCAATAATTGCATACAATGTACTTTGATCCGTTTTTGTTGTAGTTGTTACAGGTGATTGTGTGCTTGCCGTAGGAAAATTTTTAACGGTAATAGTAATATCTACGCTACTCGTCGTTGTTCTCGATGAATTGAGACATAGTTGATAAGCGATTACGCGCATCTGATAAACGTCGGTAGTTGGAAATGTTGTACTGGAATAGCGTAATGAACCCGATGAGGATATTGTAAAGAACTGATTAGTTATAGATGAATTTTCTATATTGACTATTGAATATTGCACTTGACATCGGCCATCGATAATAGCCTAGAGTTGATAATTAGATATAGATCATTCTACTTAAATTAATTCATCTTACCTGAACAGTACCGATTGATGTAGTGTTCAGTGGATAATCAGCCGAAAATAAATATGAGCTCATAGAAAATGTTGGTAATATATAAATTGTTACCGTAATTACAGTTTGATCGAACTAGAAAAAAAAATGAAAAGAAGTAATTCTCACTATAGTTAAAGAATGAATGTTACTTACGTATAGACCATCTGTAACAATAAATTGACATAAACATGGACTACATACAGGTAAATCTGTTGGATTTTCTGTTTGAACTTGAAATTGTCGAAGACTAAAGGGTGGATATTAGTCTAACTTTCAAAGTCTTATAATTTCAATCAACTTACTTTATTTTTGTCACTTGTAGCAAGAGACTTGATGAACTACAAGTTGTTGAATATTGTAATCTTGGATTCTAGCCATAAAGAGAGAAAGTTAGGCCATGAAAAATGAATTTTCATATTTTACATACAATATCTGCATCATTAACAGTTCCATTGAATGATGGAATTTTGTCTTTTGAATTTGTCGTGTATCCATCTAATGAATAGGGCGTATTTACAAATCGTGGAGGATAAATATTAATTTCATAGACATTCACATGTAATAGAATTGTAACTGAACGATTCGCATTATTCTCTTGTTGAGCCTATTTGTAAGAATAAAATTTGAAGAAATTGATGCATACTGGAATAAACTACCAGTAAAAAGTCATACCGTTAATAGTAAATCAAATTGTGTTGTAAAATTAAAACTATTTTGTAATGTAAGTATACCAGTTGATTTATTGATAGCAAAATATGTATCTAAAATAAAATTTATTATGAGAATTCAATCTTTGTTTTGTCCCATTTATAAGATTACTTGTAGCTAGAAAATAAATGATTGTTGCATTAATTCCAATATCTTGATCATACGCACTAATTGTTCCCTCATTTGGTGTAACAACAGAATTCTATAATAAAAATATAACTTCTATATAGTTTTTTCATCTAAACTAAAGCCTAATATTTCCTTACCACTAGTGTATCAATTGAAATATTTAAATTATATGAATTTGACTGAAATATTGGATTTAAATTATCGACATCAATCAATTGAATATAAATTGTGGCTTGAGATGATAATGATGGCACACCATTGTCCTAGATAAAAGTGAATTTCAATATATATTAAAATAGAGAAGAACAAAAAACAAGGAACAAGTATTTACTTGTGCAACAATAGTCAAATTAAATTGTGATATCATTTGATTGTAATCCAATGGTTTTAATAAAATTAGACTTGCATTTGTTGAACTGACCAATGTAAAATAAGACTAAACATTCAAAAAAGAAAAATTTATTAGACAATAATTTGGACAATATTTCATAATCTATATGTACACTATATTGTGAATCATTTCTAAGATAATACGTGATTATTCCGAAATCAAGATCGTATGCTGATATTTGAGAATAAACGATGGAATTAACAACAGCTGTTTCCAAAAGATAAACCGAATAGATCGACTGATTAAATGTTGGAGCATTATCATTAACGCTAAATATAATCAAATAATAAATGAAAGATTAATTTTAAAATCTTGACCATTGCTTTAATAAAAATTATTTAATTATGAATAACTTACTCGATTAATTCCATTTGAAAATCAAGATTATTCTAAAAGCAAAGAAAATATCGAATAATTCTCATAATCAAAGATACTCTAGATCACTTACAATAGATTGATTTGCTTTTATTATACATGAAACAATGATACGAAACGGATTTGGATAACCATTCGATACCCACGATTCATAATTAAGAGCTAAATCAAGGGTTTATTTTAAAACGAATATATTTCTTTTGTCATAAATAAAATTTCTAAATCTGATCTTTCAGAAAATCTTAAATACTTACGATAGCGTAAATAAAGTTTTGTAAAATTTAACGAAAAGTAATCTGTTCCATTTGTTTTAACCACTGTACTATTGTAATCTAAGTAAGTTTCTATTTGATCTGGCGTACCAAATATGTTCAATGTTGCTATTAAATCACCTTAAGAAGGGAATAACATAAATATATTTATTGTAACTAGAAAAAAGTTTTTTATTTAACAAATCTTACCAGCTTTATCACTTTCTAGCATACTCAAGATTTGATCGGCAGGTAAATATTGTAATTTACACAGTTCTTGACTTTGACCTTGAATGAAAACATACTAAATATTGAATATTCAGTTCAAGACCGAATTGTAAAAACATCCGGTAGTTAGCAAAAATGAAAGTATAGTTAACTGGTGTCGAATTTTATAATTTCATGGAAACTAAGAATTTGTGTGGTTAACTCTTATTACAGTATTTTCTGCTACACAGTGGGGAACAACGTGGACATTTGGGGGAAAAACGAAAGTCAGATTTTTCAAGATTTAAATAGTACGTCATATACTTCAGCAGACGCTCTGTCTTTTTGCTATTAGAACATTTTTTCTAAGTGTCATCATAAATGAGAAAATCGCTAAGCAAGTTTTTGTCGAAAAACATAGTGATGAAGATAGAAAATTTATTTTTATCAGAACACAACATGATATCTAGAAATAAAATATACGGTTTAAAACTAGACCTCTCACCCTATTCACTCGTAAAAAAAAATTTTTGTGAAACGCATTGGAACGGAAAAAATCGATTTTCTTTCTTTGATAAGTGTTTTTCAAGGAACATACCGCAGTATAGTGCATTTTCCCAAATTTCCCCAACTTCGAACTCAATAACTTTCAGAAAATATTCTTATCGGTGCGTTACACCTATGCAGTTAGCATAAAGATGCATAAATGTTACAGGGTGGAGTTATAGGTTTTCCAAAACCCGACTTTTTTTAGATGTTTTCCTGTTTTTTTCTGTTCCAAAGCAGTTTTTCTCGAAAGGAGAAACATATTCAGAAACAGCAAGAAAAACTGCATCTAAAGATGTGTGTTTGAGGTGTTTCTGAATAACAAATGTTTCGATTTAGTGTAATGTGACGGTTTCAGCGTATTCACATGGCAATTTTGACTTGGCACGTGAACATGTGCTAGAAAAGCGGTACGAAAGTCTCTAAGCACTGTTTTTATAGGTTTTTGTATACGCTCTTTTCAATGACACAATCGTCAAGCTTTCAAAGTAGGTTTGTAGCGGTTTTCCAGAGATCCGATCCTTGAAAAAACAGTTCGAACATACTTCGGAAGTTTGAAGACTGCACCATTGAAAAGAGCGTATACAAAAACCTGTAAAAGCAGTGCTTAGAGACTTTCGTACCGCTTTTCTAGCACATATCCATGTGCTTTCTCAAGTTGTGTCAATTCTAAGAATTTCCGAGCTTAATATGGCTGGCATAGTTTTATAAATATTATTTACTGTTCGACCTTCTGTTCTTAGTAAGTAATGTAGAAAAAAAGTGGCGTGTAAAAATACTCTACAAACCTCTCTAATATTCTATTTTAACCAATTAGAAAGAAGATACAACGAAACTACCTTAGATGCATATGTATGCTCTATGATAGATTTGTTAGTTTTCTTGGTTTGAACACCTGTGTCATCTTTACAATTCTAGGAAATAGTTCAAAGTGAATCGTAACTTATTCAGTTCAGCGAGATCAACGGCTTGATCGTCTCATCCATCATCATTTTTTTTCTTTTATTATTGATATCATTATTATCAAGACTGTATATGTTAAAAATATTCAATGAATACTAATCAGAAGTTCAGTTGTTTTTTCATTTCTTTTCTCTTGTTTTTTTTTTTTTTTGATCACCTTTGTATTTTTGATTGTTGTCTAAGAATACTTAAAGTAATTTTAGCTATATCTTTCTTAATTTTTTACATAAAAAAATAAATTCATACCTTTTACTTGCTGAACGAGTACATAGATCAACAGCCAGTACCAAATATCTATCGTTGTTGTCAAACACGTTTTTCTCATTGACGAACATTAATCGTATAATCAATAAATTAGACTAACATCACGTGATTTTAATCATCTAAATTAAAATTGATATTTTCATTTTTGTTTTAGAGAAGGTTCCGTTTTGCACTCATTTTCAATATTTGGCAGAGTACAGTGAATTATATATACCCTGAAAATGGTTGCACCCAAAATTATAGACTATGACTCTGGTTTTCGCATTGTCTCTGGCGAAAAGGAAAAAATTTCTTTTTAAAAGTTCTTGCCAAATATTTTAAAAAACTATCAAAAATGTTAGCTACAACTTTTTTCCAGTTCAAATCTTTTTTTAAAAATCAGAATAGTCAGATTTACAATTTAAAATTAAAAACTTTAATTTCATTTTATTTTAAGATTTTCGCAGTACATGACATAAAAAACCTTATTGGTACACTTCAGAGTATTAAGAACATGTTTTTGTTTCATATTACTTTTTTCGTCCTAGTGAAATAATTTAACAAAATTGCGGAGAAATTACACAAAAACAGTTTTAGTAAGAATAGAAGATAATGTCAGTGGTCTTAGTATAAAAAATGTCTTTTGTCTTCAAATTTGAAAAATCTACCGTTTTCTCATCCTTGCTCAATTTGATAGTTGATGAAAATCATCAATATGTAGGAAAAACATCAAACAACCGAATCTTGACTGATTGCAAAAATGTTTTAGAGAATATACATTAAAATATGCTCTATCAAATAGCAAAGTTTGAGGATACATATAAGAAGAATTTTTACTTATGGCAAGAAAAGAAGAAAATACTGCTGTATCTATATCAAAAATTTCTTCTCAAATGGGTTTTCGATTTCACACAAACAATTCGGCTCCTCTTTGAAAAAGATAGTTAACATTTAAATGTATGACTCTCGAAAAGAATTTACTTATCAAATGTCATCATCATTTCTGAGACTAAAACTTTTTTTTTTGTTTTCAAATAGTTAGTCTAATTAGAGATAGATTTTTCTTTAAAATGTACGATTTATTTTCCGTAAATATTTTTACCTGGTGTTATAGTCAACGTTACCATGGATTTTTCAACAATATTAGAACAGAAAAAGTATAACTTGCAGAAAACATGTCGTACATTTGAAGAGAAAACAATATCTCATTAAAATAGATATTGAATCAAAAGGTTTTTTTGTTTGTTTCAGAAATGATCACGATATTTAATTTTAAAAATTTCTTTCGTCTTCAGTCTATTAGTAAAACTGATATTTTATAAACTACTACTGTAATTTAGAAGAGGCTAGTGAAACTTATCATACTCTCTCTAATTGAACATACGGATTCCTTTTAAGAATCGATCAATACTGAAACGTTACAAGAACTTTAGGTATCCAATTTAAACGGAAACTCCTTGAATTTTTTCTAAACTACCCAGGATGTGAAAAATGGTGTAATTAATTGTCTGTTAAGTATCCATTAATAATATATCCAATGTTTATTAAATAGATACTTTTAGACTATTGCAACAATTTTTTATTCGCTTTTATACATTTAAACTGGAAACGTTTTAGCGTCTCAAGTGACATGATTATTACGATCAAAAAATGTGCATTTTATTATGCTCGTTTTAAGGTTATTATTACACCATTAGGGGCCCGTTAAATTGTTTGAATATTTTTCTAAAGTCAGTTTTTTTCTCTAACTAGTAATCCTCAAAAGCTGATCTCACTAATTTCAATATTTTTGCTTCTTTAGGTCATGGTACCACCACTGGTATCAGTCCCAGAACTAAAGGCTACTCCTTACACTTATAGAATTTAAGAAGAGAAAATTTCTTATTGCTTTTAAAAGAAGTAGAAGCAAATTTATATTAGTCAGAAATAATGAAACAAAAAGATGAACGGTTTGTTGACAAATGATTTAAATACTGACATTTAACGGTTAACGTTAAATACTAATTTTTTTCTAATATGTTAACTGTTTCAAAACGACATATTATTAAACAATTCACGACGATGTGAATTTCAGTTTTAAGTACATATGATTAAATGCATGTTTTTTAGACGTGATTCATAGTGAAATAACGGATAAAAAACTGGTGACTATTAACGGGCTGTTTTCTAACAGTTTTTAGCCGATTAAAAGTCAATTTTTTCGTTATGCCGTTAACAACCTACCCATAAGTTAACCTGGATATAGATATCTTTTTCACACGTAAATAACAATAATTGAATCTGTCAAATAGAATGAAGATGCTTACAATGAATGCATAACATAAATGACTTGTATTTAATATTTCATTAATAAAACGGTAAATATTCTGATTGGAATACTGGAAATTGATAGATATAAACTTGAAAATAAGACAAATCTAGAAGATTAGAAATTAGAAGAGTTTTAAATGTTAAAACTGATTAAAAAGAAGAAATCCGATTTTTTCTTTTTAGTGATAAAATGAACAAATACTTTTTGGGATTCACCAAAATTTTATTTTTCTATGAACTGTCTAACAATCGATTGTCACATCATTTTGTGTTTTTAAAAGGATTCTTTTTATTGTTAAAATTAAAATTTAGACTCTTTTCTGCTCACCAGGTTACATCTTCTAACATCCGATTAAAAATAGAAAACATGCGATGATTCTTTTTTATATTTAACTTCATTAACATTCTCATCGTCTATACAAAACATATTTTGTCTCTCGTTTTTTTCTCTATTATTTTTTGAACTGTACATTGTGACAAGTATGATCTTTTATTCATTGTCATGCTTTGACTCCACTATGAATGTCAATCATAATTTTCTAGATTGTTCAACCATTTCTGTTATACATATGCGCGAATTTTATATTGTTCTGTTGATTATAAATTTCTCACACAATAAAGAAATAACGAAAAACTTTTCTCTTCTTAAATTCTATAAGTGTAAGGAGTAGCCTTTAGTTCTGGGACTGATACCAGTGGTGGTACCATGACCTAAAGAAGCAAAAATATT